TGACACCCCTTTCTCAACGAGAAGTTTGGGCTTGGGTGAGCCTGAGTGCTGAAGATACCTACCTATTCGGAACCATTGTAACAGGGTTCTGGCTGATCGGAACTGGCTTGGCCCTGACTTATCGAAGAATTAAGAAAGCGGAACCGGCTGTTCAAACCCCCACAAGGCTGCCCGCTGGGATTGGAACGATGGGAGAGGCGTGAGTTTCTCAAAATGGGCTCATTGAGTCAGCACGGATAAGATCTTGGAAAGGCTGACGGCTGCTGTGAATACTCAGAATAAGATCTCTGACTGCAGACTGGATACATCTCGGAAGGGCTAGCCCGGAATAACATCTCTGGGTGCAAAATTGGATGACATCTCGGGGAGGCACACTGCCATGAGTTCTCAGAAATTGGCTCCTTGAGCACAAGAAATGACAACATCACAGAACGCAAGTATGGCGAAGCTCGCGGCTCTCCAACGGGAGATTGAGAGACCAGTGTTGGACCGTAGAACTGCTTTGAAATTCATATGAGCTGTTCGCACTAAAGTAAAAAATAACATCACTTATGCGGATACCCCTTTGGCGCCAGCTGCAAGGCCTGATAACGACTGTGTTTAGTCTGTTCCTTCCCATTCCATGCAAGGCCACCTGGGTTGGCTGGAAGACTGTTTACTTAGCCTGGCAGGGCGAAGGACACTGTCTCAGCTGAACTATGGGCACGCACACACATACATATACTGATACTGATAAGCACTCACCGACGCATCACCCTCCCTACCCCGGATCCAACGCCACCTCCAACGCTTACCTCCCCTCTGATGTGGACATCGGGTCAGTTGGAGGCACAGTCGAAAGATTGCAGCGGTCCCAGATCAGATGTACACACTGGAACTCTTTCCCATGTTGCTTTTCTGTGTTTATTGTGCTATGGTGTGTTGATATCTGTGCATTCCTGTATTATCCTTCTGTGTTACACATTTCAATGTTTTTTTCCTCGCTACCTAGCCTGACCTGTCTCCCCAATGTGATGTTTGTATATTGTATGTACAGTCGGCAAGGTCTGTCATCTCGGTTGTGGGCAAAAGACCTGCAACTGACAAATAAAGGCTATCTCATCTCATCTCACCTATTTTGTTCTGGTATTGCTTTAGTGAGTCACAACATAGGCTGACTTACCAGGGAGGTAGCCGGAAGCTGGATGACATAGGTGTAGCAGTTTTTGTCCGCATTAAGTTGTTTTCCAGGAAAGTGGAAACAAAAAGGAGCTGAGCTCAGCAGCGTGCATGCCATGAGTTGAGCAACAGATGGTTATGTTTGTGTAGAAAAATAAACAAATGGTCACTGCTGACCAGGCTGTGAGACCACCTGCATCTTTGTCCCTGCTGCTGCTGAAACATGGTACTCTCTCTAAATTGTTTAAAAACAACTAGTTGAAATTAATGTTTGTGGCAGGAGAAACCACAGAGGAGATATTTGAGCCTTCAGGTGTTCCTATCAAATTCTGTTTCATCTCCTTTGTTTAAATCACCATCTGGAGCATTTCCAAAGCCCTGCTTCAATTTACCACTGTTGTCATCAGAAGTGTACACCTGTCATAATTAGCGCTGCCACAAACGATTATTTTGATAGTCGAGTAGTCATCGATTATTTTTGCGATTAGTCGACTAATCAGATCATGCATCCATTGGACATAAAACTACAGATTATTGCACCAGCACACATCTGCTCTTATATAACTATCATTAGCTTACAGCTTGAAGTGTTTAAGGTATGTGCTAACTAAAAATAAAGACAAGATGACAGTTTATTAAATTTTAATGAAATTTGCAGATTGTTTCGGTGGAGTTTAATAAACTCAGCTGTCTGCTCCTTGCTATCTAAAATATAACAGGACACCGGAGGAGCATCTCTTTAATCTCAGCCAAACCGATTTACTCAGTAACAAATAAAATACTAAAAAAAAGCCAAATAATAACATTTTAAAGTTATCCAAGTGACTTATATATCATGTTTAACCTGAGTAGTGAAAGAAGGCTGTGGGTTTGAAAACGATTTGCCCGGAGTCCGGTGTTCTCGCAGGCTCTAGTGAGCCTTGCTCCCGGCTAGCTATCGAGCTGGTGGGTAACAGACGTTTCGAAAACGTCTGAGCGCTTTTGAAAATATGCGGTGTCTTGATAAACTGAGCAGATATTTGAGGTTTACGCAGCTACATTCTCGCCTGAAAACATGTTAAACGTTTATTTTGTGACCCAGAAAGAATAATAAGAGTAATATTAACACTAACTAGCTGCCGCCATTGTTGGAAACTGAGCTGGGCTGCGCTATGAATTCTGGGACGCAGCTTCTTCTTCTTCGGGGTTTAACAGCAGCTGGCATCCTTGTACATGCAGTGCTGCCATCTTCTGTTTCAGTCCGTTATTACACTCTTAAATCCTACTACTTATTCCTGTGTCTTTTGGGATCTTAGAAAGCTTCAAACGATGCGACTATTAAATTAGTCGTCGACGATTTTGATAGTCGACGTAATCGTGACTAGTCAACTAATCGTGGCAGCCCTAGTCATAATTACAGCATTTATTGTTCTCCTGTTTATTTCCTCATCTTAAGGGTTCTCCTGGTTGTCATTTGTTTCCACTTTGTATATAAAACATGCCATCTTTAATATATAACCTAAAAGTACCTACCTAAATGTAGTTGTTTGCTGTTGTGTTTGATGTTTGTTTTAATAAAACTGTATCAAAGCAACCTTATTATTGGATTCCAGCCCTGCTTTGTTTTGGTCTCTCGCCACTGCACAAAACAAGGTCAGAGACTGGGAACAGATTCAGAATTTAGTTTCATGATTCAAAATGTGTCATGATTATATCAGTGTCTTACTTGGTGAGTTTTCTCATGTTCAGCAGAAAAACCTTAAACCCATACTTCCCAGCACTGCATCTGTCCAAGTACTTGGTGACACAACAAACTCATAAATCTGCCATTTACAAAACACAGTTTGGAGGTGTTTTCACATCAAGTGATGTGCTTTTTAATTTTCTGCAAAGCCCATTGTCGCGCAGATAAGGCAAAACAGGTCAAATGTGGACTGAAATCTAAAGAAATTACTGAAAAACATGTTGCACAACTTCCAGAGTAAACGAAACAGAAGACTGTTACTTTGCAAAGGCCTGGATAAAAATAAACTTCCCTGAAAATGAAAGTAAAAGTGGGCATAAGACTATTGAAAAATACTCAGTTACAAAAAACTGTTGAACTTGGAACACTGTAAACAAGTATGCAAGCCCTGTAAACTCAACAGAAGACTAAACACACATTATCCATGCAGCTGAATGGCTCCTTGTGTAGCTGTATCATTATGTGTACCATAAATTGGTATTTAAGCACTTAATGTCATTTCACTACTTTAAATGCTGTTTAGTAGTTAAATCTATAACAAAGAACATATTTTATAAGTAAATGTATATGACCAATGCTGAGCTATAAGTTATTTTTCTACTGTAAAATCTGCAAAGCTGTTCAAATTAAGGACTATACTTGGGGGGGTATATGTATTTTATTTGCATTTTTGTTCCTTTATAGCTACTCCACTACTTCCTAGCTTAACTAATCAGTATTTCACACACCCTATAATGCCTACAAAAAACAATACCGTAAGTGGTAAGTTTTAAGATACTTGGAATCAATTAGTAGCTTAAGTAGGGGCATTTCCAGGACTTCTTTACATGCAGTGACACAGGGGAGACCAAGAAAAGTGGAGGAAGGGCCTACATGAAGTCTGGATATTCAATCAGAAGAAAAATCAGCGTAGAAATCTGGTATAAAAAATACTGGGGACAATTTTTAGACTCATGTGGAGCCCTGTGTCCTATTACAGATTTATCATGTGAAAAGTGGTGCTGTAAATAAGTTTTAGCATCATTATGTGTTGAATAATTGTTTTGCAAAGTTGAGGGAAAAAACTTTTTATTTAAGTAAAAGTTATAGTCATGATTTTAAAAAAAACCTGACTGACCAGGCCAATATATCTGATTAGAATATGTTTTAAAGTAATTAAAATAAACACATGTAAAATGTCACTTTCAGTCATGTACATTACATTATACTATTGTACTATTAATTACCTCTATATTACTAGGTAGCTTTATCTATAAAAATACAGTTTATCATAATAATAATAATAATAATAATAATAATAATAATAATGATAATGATACTAATTAAAGTAACAAAAGCTTTGAAAATAAATAGTACTGAGAATTAAATTGGGCAGTCTAAGACTAACACTTCCAGTTAAAGTTAGAAGTCAGAATTTCCAATTTCCCTTCAAGATGGATTTCCAGTTTGGAAAGTCGGAGCACCCCCACCAACCTTGAATTCACAATCCAAGATTATGGCAATGCGCATAAACATTAAAATGTAAAACTTGAAATTTGTATTGCCATTGTTTTTTTCCATTGTATTTGTGACTCACTAAATAAGGCATATGCAGTCTGCTGACCAGGCTCTGTTCATGAATGTGCTGCAGTTGTGCTTTCAAATCCGAGCATTGTGGTGTACTGCTTGCGATGCACAAATAGGTCTACCTTGCTAAGAAGAAAACCAAATCCTATTTTTTCTTGCTTTTCTGACTTTAGTAATAGAATACGCTCAACTTAGGAGTGACGTCATTTCTGCTTCTGACATGTGACTGTGACATAGTCAAACATTTGCGATAACTGGCAATGAGTATTTTACATTGCTGTGGAGAAATTTTGGCCCACTCTTGTTTGCTGAATTGTTTTAATTCAGCCACACTGGAGGGGTTTCCAGCATGGATTGCTTGTTCAAGACTGTATTTTGTTCCAAAAAGTTCAGTTCTTTTAATAAGCAAATAGGCTTGGCTAGTGAAACTGAACTCAACTTTTCAGAAAATGTGGTTATTCATCGTTAATTCATGATGATTTAACAGGCAAATATGACACATATGCAATGTTTTAATCAGAATCGTGTTTATTGGCCAAGTATATGTGCAGACACATACAGGGAATTTGGTTCCGGTAGATGGTGGCTCTCAAGCACAGCAATGTAAATCACACACACACACACACACACACACACACACACACACGTGTCTATATACACACATTACACATACATACACATACATACACAAAGCTGTGTAAACCAACTATAAATAACTAATCTAAACTTATATACATAAAATACAGAAATGAAATGAGGTGGAATGAATACTACAGAATTTACATAAGGTGCAGTTGCAGTCTGGCAGTGGGAGCAGTGTGACAGGTCAACTGTTAAGAAGGGAGATGACAAGGGGAAAGAAACTGTTCCTATGTCGGGTGGTCCTGGTCTGCAGGCTTCTGTACCGTCTGCCAGAGGGCAGCAGATCAAAAAGTCTGTGTCCAGGGTAATATTTGTTTTTTCTCAATTTTATTATAACTTGCCTGACAAGACACTGAGGAAAATGTTTATTGAGACTTTGGTTGTCTAAAACACTAAGTAAACTGCTTTCAAGAAGTTCTATGTTTTTATTGTAACAATGGCACTGATTTACTTTTTAATTTGTTAAAAGTAACAGGAGAACTAACTAAAACTATAAACTAAAACTAAACATTTCCAAACAATAATAATTAAGCTGAAATAAGAAAATTCACTTTGGATATAAAACTGAATTGAAAAAAAAAATAAGTCAAGGGGGGGGGGGGGGTAACAATTAGCGTAGTCTGTGCCACCTCATGCCCCCCTTTGGTTATGCCCCTGGACTAACGTTTAAAATACTTTTGAAGGCATTGCAAAGTACTCGAGTATTGTTTACTTTAATACAAGTATTTACTTACTAACCACAAGTGCAACACCCAAATCACGGATTGCGTGCCAGTTAAACAGATTTTTTTTCCCCCAGTGTGATGCGCGCGCACATGCACACACGCGAACACACACAGAGGAGGGAGGGAGGGATGAAGAGGTGTCTGCATCACTTCAAACTCCTGCCTGCACTTCTCCGAGAGCTACTCCTCCTCCTGAAGCAGAGACGAGCAGTGTTCCTCCGCAGACTGTCCGGTCCGCAAACGGCTAAGTAAAAGTCCCCACACGCCGCGATGGGGACCAGCTGAACCGCACGCAAGGGGGGTAGAAGAGGTCGGTCGTGCAGTTTCCCGTGTAGTAGTAGTGAGCGTCCTGGAGGAGGAGGGGGACACAGACACACACACAAGCGCGCGACGTTCGTGTCCTATCGTAGACGTTAACGGCCAACGGTCGGAGCTAGTCACCTGAATACCTGCGGCGTTTCGCACCGACGCCTGCGCTTACACCGAGAGAGGCTGAGGAGGGGGTGGGACGGGGCAGGAGAAAGTTTCTCGAGCTTGGCGCAAACACAGCAGTCAAACAATGCGGCTGACCCCGACAAAGTCCTTTCCGTCGGCAGCGCTGCTAATCCTGCTGCTCGTCCGCTGGTCCGACAGCAGTAAGTAAACAGTTACATGCTAGGCGGCTAGCTAGCCCGCTAAACCCTCTTTGACATTTGAGTTGCAGCTGGTGATGATACACGTCTCGGTTATTGCCAGTACTGACGGTTAACGTTAGATATTTCGCAACATCCCTCACATTGTTTTCCTGCGCCAGTGTATTGCTTAACCGCAGAGTTGTTTGACATTCACTTGCTCTTTTTTTTTTTAAAAGGTGACTAAACTTTGCCCGTTTTGCTTTCTTTTGCCCTTCTTTCTTTAGTCTCACTGTCCCCTCAAGAGGCGAACCAGTTTCTGAGCAGACACAGGAGGGCGAATCAAGTCTTCGAGGAGACGAAGCAAGGACACTTGGAGAGGGAGTGCGTGGAGGAAAAGTGCAGCAAGGAGGAGGCCAGAGAAGTGTTTGAAAACGACCCGGAGACGGTGAGTGGTATGTTCACAAGTTAGTCTCAGCTGCAGCTCAGCAAAGGCTGCATGCGAGCAAAGGCGGGCTTCCTTCTCATCCCGTGAGGAGGTACTGCAGTACCACCAACTCCATCAGAGCACCATTACCTGCTGAGGTTGTGTTATGTACTGTAACTTCAGGGAGGCTGGGTGTTTACATCATGTTCACAGTGACTACACACACACACTAATGATTCATTGTCTGGGCTGCTTGCTGTTAGTATTCATGCTTCAATAAGTCCAGCATGCCGATAGCTGTCAGGACACATAATATTCCCATGTCTGGGACTTGGCCGCTTTCCACGTCTTTTGTTTTGTTTCTGTGACAGACACTGATTCAGCATGACTCTACTGTCATTTGTGAAATCCCCTTTTTAAATATATATATACCCAATCTCCTCTTCATATTGACATGTGTCCTTAAGTTGATAACAAATATGGGATGTAGCTGGATGTCTTTCTGTTTCTTTTTCTCATTGTGTTGCATCTTCTGATGTTGCACATGCACACTTTTGCTCATGCATTTCATTCAACATTACTGTGTACGTTGCCCTGCTAATCTGAAGACACGCTTCCTACTTGACATTTAACATCGTACAAAGTCCATCACACGGGCCATGCCCAGAAACCTGTACTGGAGATTAGTTTCCATTCTGCATTCATGAGTGTACACGTCAGCCTTTCCATCCATGTGAATTCATAAGCCTATTTTATATGTACTACAGTGTGCTGTATGTGCAAACAGGCTATAAATAATCCAAAGTGTTTAGAAAAACACACAGAACTTGGGCTTCTTGGGCTTCCTCAGGAAGATGATATGTGTTACAGCAAATAATAGTGCAGATGCATGCCCAGAATCTTCTGCAACAAGTCTACCCTAACGTGGCTGGATGCTTTTGATTGTGAACTCTGTAATTTCTCTTAATTTCTACATCTGACATTCATATTCAACGGTTTTAAGTGGTGGACTTGTGTTGGTGATGTCCTGCCCTTTAAATGTCACATTCACTCCTTAAGATTGGATATTGTGAATTGTAGTAGAGAGAGAGCGAATGAGGCAATCGATGACTTAAGATTACTTGTAAGATTAGTCTGGCGCTGAGAGAGGGAGGATTAAACTGAAGCTGAGGTGGATTCTGGTAAAAAGGGTGAAGTCAGGTGATGTCTGAGTCAGATCCACGCATGCTACCGGCAGAACACCAAATTACTCCTGTAAGTTTTGAACCTTGTCGTGACACAAAGCTGCAGTCTCACTCGTATCTGCATTATTCATCCTGGAAGGGCCCGTCTCTGACTCTGCATTTTATTCTGCTGCAGCTTTGTAGCTCTGCAGAGAGGGAAAGAGAGAGAGGCTGGGGTGTTCCCAGTGCTTATGATCATCCTTGGCAATGGACAGTCATACCAAGTTTCTGGTCTCTCATTTATTTGATGACATACGGGACATACAAATGAGAAGAAGGTGTCAAAACTAACTTGCTCAGTGTGAGGTTCAAATTTAGTCGTTTTGGTTAACCTTTGAAGGTCAGCTTATATTTTAGGTCAGTGTATAATCAGACTTTACCCCACACAGAATTTTGCCTGATTAGTTTCACTTAATAAGACACCGGTCTCACGCAAGCCTGCTGCATCTGGCATCATCTGCAGCATGAGTGTGACTCTGTGCCTCCAGAGTCTCAGATTTTGGCCTATATGTGGAGAAGTGCTGCAGCCAGAAAGCAGGAGGGATGGTACTACTACCAGGAATGCAGAGAATGCTGAAGAAGCTCCTGTCATAGAGCTGCACCCTGTTAGAGCAGATTACAGAGTAATCATAGCCTAATCTCTGCATTGCACTGCCACATTTCATGATTGTTTATGAACTGTTTTTCCTGCAGAAGTGAGCTATAAAAAAACCCCCAAAACAAATGCACAATTAAGTCAAGCATAAGCAGAAACCTGTTACTAATTTTAAGAGTTCATTGAGACTGTATTGCCTTGTTTAGATTTTGTTTGCAAACACATAACTTTACCCTCTGTGTTTTGTTTTTCTCTGATGCAGAACTACTTTTATCCCAAGTATTTAGGTAAGTTATCATTCTACCTAAAACCATTAATTTCTCTCTTGGCTGATTATACGTTTGTCATCCCTTCAACTGAATTCCATTTTTGTCTCTGTCTAGCCTGCCTGGACACGTTTGGAGATTCTGAAAAGAAAAAACAGGATCTGGTCACATGTGTCCACAGTAAGTTTTTTTTTTTTTTTTTTTTACCTCCTCCTGTCTGCCTTTTAGCTTTATTGTTAGTCTGTGAATAGGTTAGATTAATGCATGTCTACATCCTGCTCTCTCATTTATTCTCAGTTTTTATTTCACTGAGAAAGTTGCTACATGAAGAGACAGGGAGCTAGTTATGTTGCAGAGTTGTGCTGCACTGCAGTATCACTGCTCTGCATCACACTCCAGTGTGTGCTCTCTGCAAGTACAGAAGCAATCGGAAGCAGAGATGTGCTGAATCTCTTCGCCACCTCCAGGTCCATTTTCTCAGCGTGGCACACCTAGCTCCTTTTAAAGTGAACTGTGTGTGCGTGAGTGTCTATGAGTAACATTGCAGCACTTTGCTACAGTGACGCTACACGTTGCTGAATGAGTGACACACCCCTTTAGTCGTCACATATTCGCGCACTCACTTCCTGAGCGACTGCGCCAGCCTCTTCGTGTGTGGGCTCGGCTGGGGAATGACGTAGAGACGATGGTCTGACGAGAGGATGGCTAAGGATTTCTGCTGCATCAGGATACAGGAGACCGGCTTTACTGCTATTGGCTGTTGATTGTCTTGCGGGGGAGGCGTTTCCATGACTCAGCTGCAGCATTGTGACATTTAAAGATACGGCAGTACTTTTTTTTCCACCAGTTGTCAGCACCATCTCCTTTCCACCATTTTTCTATCTTGCCCATCAGTTGCCTGTCACCACTGATTGTCTCAAAGCAGATTCTGGCTTTCCACCTATTTATTTATGGAATATTTCCAACATGCACAGTGCATTATGGAAACATGTACTGAGTTAATTCTCCCACTGCTCCCTGCTTCTGTTTCCTTAGTCTGCAGTTTTCTGTGAATGACACTTTACAAAAATGGATTAAAATAGATCACTGAAAGACACGTGTTACTGTTCTTTGACATCCACAGTATGGCACATTGTTACTTCTTTGGAAGCTTTGTAGGCTGTGATTCCACAGTGTGTGTTTTAACAAATGGAACTAAATTGCGACTCTGTGTTGGGGGACCATTAAATTTTGAAGCAGCGGAAACAAGCTTGGCTCCTGCAGTTACACTTCTTGTTTAATGGTCTACAAAGCATCACTAACCAGTGGGTGGGATTCTTTTTTTAATATCTGCCCTCCTTTGTCAGAGAGTACAATTGCATGCACTGATGCTGATATGCAAATATTTTCAGTTTTGATGAAGGAATATTACTTCAATGTAAAAAAAAAAAAAGAAGAAAAAAGAAATAACTGATAAAATGTATTTTAGTAAAACATTCCTGCTATGTTATTTGTAACTGAGGGATCATCATCTGTAAAGCACTGACATCAGCTAAGTATTTGTGCACATAATGCTCAGTTTAAATACAGATGTTTTTAATAAATGCACAAAGTTACATTACACCAATAGCTGGTAGTTGAGAAGATTAAGTCTTTTAAGGCAAATATACCCAACTATAGCATCCAACCTTAGGCATTATTAACTTAATTCAAACTTAAGATAATGAAACGGTCCTAATAATAATAACTTAAAAGTGCTGTTTAAATGTTTTTAGTGCTGTCTCTTAACATTTGTTTTTTGTCTTACTCTGCATTGATGAATTGCTGAGCTTTTCCTCATTGCCGGCATCTTGCAGTGCTTTAATGTTTTTAAAGTCTAAATTTAGCTCACAAAATGATTGTCTCTATTAAGATTTTTTTTCATAAGGTCTTGCCCATTGCATAAACAAAATAAAGGTCCACAGATGCAAAGTACCACAAGCCGTTAGTGTGTAGTTTTGAGCAGCTGTCATTAGAGATGGCACGATACCACTTTTTTATGACCGATACCGATATCATAAATTTGGATATCGGCCGATACCAATATGAATCCGATATAGTGTGTTTTTTAATCAATAAAACTGTTCTTTTAATATCTTGCTGCTTTTTGTATAAGTTCATACTCAAGTTAAAAAACAAACAAACACTAAAGCCATTCTGTTATACCTGTATGCAAAAAATACACTGCACCCAAAATATTTCATAGTTCAGCAATACTGATCAATCTAATAAACCTGCACCATCCTCCCTATTCTGGTATTTTAAAGAGTAAGCAACCTAACTAATAGGGTTCTAAAACTCCCAGCAAAAAAATAAAAAAAATAAGGAACCACCCTCCACCTCATGATGCTTAATCGACGTAATCAACTTTAATTTGATGCAGTGTGGAAAAAAAAATGCCCAGAAATAAATTATTTTTCAAGAATAATTAAATAGATTCAACATCTTTCTTCAACAGAATTGCAGACTGCACAGATGGTACCTTCCCAAAGGAAAAAGTACTATAGCTTACTAGGGTATATTAGACTTAATAGTTACTATATACAGTAATGGACTTCTATACATTTTACATCAGATTAAAACTTGGGCGTAAGATTCGGATAATTATTTTTTTTCTAGACATTTTAAATTAGAATAAGAAAGAAAAGTATGTCTTTGTGCCCCCCTTTTTCCTGTTAATGCCCTATCGGCCCCCCTGGCTAAACTTTGCTAGATCCGTCTCTGCACAGTTACCAGCCGTCAGCTGCGTAAAAAAGGATCCTGGTGTAGAAAGTAATATTAAATAAATTCTAACAACAGATTATCAAGCTTAAACGTTCTGCTGTTGTTCAGCCGCTGGTTTCCTCTTTCTGGTGCAAAGTGGGCCAAAAACAAACAAGAGAGACGGACTTGCGACAGAAAAGCCGATCAGCTGATCATTGATCAGTTTCATGATTGAAGTAGCAGCAGGAGAGGGAGGGAGAGAGAAGAGGCAGTCGCTCCATATATTGGTTGTTAAGCTTAACTCGGGAATGCTTTACAAACATTCAGAGATGGACTTACACATTTGCTTTACTTCTCTCTGGGATAACGTCCTCGGAGATGAAATGCC